CACACACACACACACACACACACACACGCACCAGAGCCAGAGTACATATATCCCTTCTAGTACCTTGATAATCAATTTAATGATACCACTTAAAAATATCTTGCAGAAATATATCTCACTGCGAAAAATATATCATTAGTCAGGTTCGAATCTGAACTTCTCTACTTTCCGGAAACGAGCGTCTTCATACTTTGATACCCTCGAAAGAAAAACGATATGTTAAATATGATATATTATATGCGCGATGAGAAATATGATATTTTTAACATAATTTATATAAAATTTCAAATATCTTCTCGCAACTTTTAATATTCCCGATTGTTCTAGTATTCGCCAGCAAAAGGCCTTCGCTTCTTCGATTCTTTTTCTCTCATCCGCGAATCCTCATCTCCGTGAAATTCTTAGGACGCGCCCGTACGCCTCGATTACTGGAATTCATTCACGAGAATCGCATTGAAATCGCGATTGCCGAGGAATGTCGTTCTGTCCAGCTCTGTCGTAACGGTCATAGAACGGATCCGATGTCCTGCGGGCAGGAACTCCCGGTTGCACCTGCGACACGTAGGCGTTGGCGCGTATTGTATAGTGAGACGTTATGTTAATACCAACGTGAATGGGTTTGTCTGCTCTTTTCTGCATTCTCCTTTCCTTTTTCTCTTTAGCGCCAACAGCTTTCAGAATCGTTGATCCGTTCAAAGAGGACAAAAACTCTTTTCAAAGGACAGATGCAACGTTAAGGAATGATTTGAGAAAATAGAAAATCACAAAGAGATTTATATCTTTAATTAAAAATAATTATAATAAATTAATTAAAAATTAGAAATATCACTAAATGTATATGTAAAATACATATACATAATATTTGAAAATTTTATCTTAAATTTACGACAACTTAGATTCTTTTTTAGAAAAAATATCGGTAGTAGAGCTTTTTATATAAACTTTAAGATGCGCATCTTATTATTAGAAGTATAAAAATGTCATCTCTGTCCAGGCAGAATTATGTAGCTAATCTAATTAAGTATGTATTTCTTAATCGATTACTTCTCGGATATTACGCTTTTCTTTACGACACGTATAGTTTATGTAAATATCGTTTCGATAAGTCAGCTCGGAGAAAGCAGAATTAAGTTTCTCGTGGAGGAAGAGGAGGAGGAGAAGGAGGAAGAGGGGAGAACGAAGGAGGCGTGAGACGGCACGGGTAGTCGACCGCTTTAATAAACATATTCACGCCGGTGATGTAACAATGCGGATCTCGTAACGAAGAAAGTAACACACACGGCGCAAGTTTGATACACCGATGCACAGGATTGATTGATAGCGCGTTATTTAAGCTGGCGGTTCTGAACACGATTTCGACAAACAATGATTACCATCGAGAGTATTCATATTTAGCGGGCGTGTATTTATCCATTAATCTGTTTGACTTTCTGTCGGTGTGTTTATAATTAATAGAATTAATTATTAAATTAACGTTAATTTATAACTAATACGCGTGCAGATTGTATATATATATATATATATATATTAGTGAATGTTCATAATACTGACATATTTTACACACACTGAAGTTATTAATTAATTCGTTATTATTACTTATTTTAATAAATGTGATTCGACGAGCCAGGGACAATCGTCACACGCTTCGGAAGGAAAGAGAGACAGCTGTCATTCATTCGTTATAATTATTTATCTATATCCTGTTTTATCTCGCTCACTGTCACGGCCGTTCGTTTCAACTCGGTCGCCAAGAACTATCGAGCACCGATACTTTTGATATTAGCAATCGAGCGCGAGCTCGTGGGGGTATCGATATTTTAAAGCGTCCCTAGTCACGTTCGCCTGTTAAATTCGCGAAAGTTTGCAGAGCGCGTCGGTGATTAGAGAGATTAAAGGGAAACATTTTATCGTAAACGATTCGAGAGAATTTAATTCGCTTGAAAGCTTTCGGGGTGAGCGAGCGTTTGCAAAGTTGCGTCGGCGAAATTCGCGAGCGAGCGAATTCCGCATGAGCGGAAGAGAGACCGAGATAAACAGAGGGAAAGAGAGAAAGAGAGAGTGAGAGAATGAGGGAAAACGCGTTTTCGATAGGCCGCGTTGAATTTTGCGGCGCTTTCATCATTTAATCGAATCTTCTGCTTCGTATTGAGATCGCGATCGAATCGCACAACGCGCCGCATCGATCGACGCGATTTAACAAATCGAACGAACGCCCGGCCGTTATTCGCAACATTTCGCTCATCGAATCACGACGATCGTTTGATTACACATTTCGAATGGATTGATAATTTCGCCGGCGGAACATCCCGCCGCGTGTTTCCGGCAACTTCCGTCCGCTCTTTATTTTTTCCCGAATTTTACCTGGCCAAATTTAATTAAAAATTACTGCACTTCTCGATTATCCAAACTGTTCAAAGATACCTTACTCCCCGCTCCGTTTTCCTCTTTCTTCTCTGTCTCTTTCCATCGATATGCCAATTTAATGCAAACCGTGCAAAAATAACGGATAACAAACTGACAAATTACTCGGGCCGTCGGAATTATTGATAAAGTTTAAACAGCCCGGCGAACTTTGTGAATTCGGAGTCACGTGGATTAATTTATGAAACGGCAATTTATTAATTAAGCACGCTTGGCCGGGCATGGCGAGTCGAGCAACCGCTTTATTATTAATCAGTCTATTATGTT